TTAATGAGAAGCCATTTAAAATGAGAGTTTTGCTGATTGTGTTTGTAGCAGTGGCAGTCTTTAAAAATACTGTTGCAGTGTGATAGGCACTGCATGATCCCATTCCACGTTTCGTCAACCATACATTGGGCTGTACCTTTCAGGAAGGGGCTGCGAAGATTGCTCCTAAGCACCCTCATAGAAGAAATAAAGGAATTCCAGGAGACATCACATGGTAAAGAAGAAACTCTTTTAATTGCAGGCTGTTGTGGGCTTGTACAGCATTTTCCCCATACAATAGAATTCACCTGCTGACACAAGAGTACTTATGGTAGTTAGCTACACTGGTTACACTGTATATGAGACAAATCACTACAAACTGTGCTCTTCTGCCTGTATAGGAAATTTGCAGCAGATACAGGTGCTTACCAGGTTTTCTGCTCCCTTATGTTAATAATATACATATATTTTTTAAAAATACAAGCCTATCCCAAGTCCTTTTCTGTCACTATAACTGTAGACATCCTTATAGATAGACATTCAGGCACAGGTTATTCTATCAAGTACTGGATACCAACCTCAGAAACATTTTTCTGTCTCTTTCCCACAGAGCACACCACTGTTCTTCACGTTAATAAGACTGCTTTCTTCTACCTCTTTTGGGCTTGTTGTGAAATCAGTGGGCATTTTCTGTTCCCATATGTGGATCCTGCATTTGGTTTTCAGTATGACTGATATGATATCAACAATGGATTCTGGGACATGAGGTCTGTACCTTGGGAGGGAGACAGATGACAGTCATACTACAGGCAAACCCTGTTGGTTTTTATTTCACAAGAGTAGTATTACTACTCACAAGGGCCCAGCTGCTTTCAACAGGGTTGATGTAGCTGCAAGCAGAACTGTAATCCTCCACATTTGCTAATAGGATTCCAGCATATATTTTTGATTCTGATTGTAATCCCAAAATTGTGGGAAAGATCTCTGAATGTGTGAATTTGGGAGAAACCTTAGAGTGCATCCACCTGGGCCTGCTGTGCCCAGCACACAAATATACCGACTGCACAGAACTAAAGAAGAAATTCCACAGCACAATGAAATAGAAATCAGACACCTCTGGGGGTTGCTCTTTGGACCATATATTGCATGTTAAAGGCCCAAAATACAAGTCTATGACATTAGTTAGAAAAGTTCCAAAACATTGACTAGGGGATGCTGGGAGCCATTGTCCAAATAAAGTAATATCTTCCATCTCTAGCAAGACTGTGTAATAACATTTCATTGGCTAAAAATGTTGTCCCTGTAAGTGACTAATGGGCCAATTACTTCCTTGGACTGCAGGTGCGTAACTTGTCTGCCTGCTATATTCATTGCCATTTTTCTTAATAGAGAGTTTATGAAACCTGTAGGGTGTTATGTATTATACGTAGCTTAATCTGCAGGTACTGCTTTATCTAATTTAAAAAACAGAGGATAGGGTTTACTAAAATATTCAATAGTCTAGAGGCAAAGTGCAAATTATTATTATTATTAGTTTTATTTATATGCCGCATTTCTCCCAACAAATTTAGGATGTCCCGAATAGCACTCTTGCAATTATTATTGTTTTCCTCTCTCTACAGAATTCGTTCATGGCAGCATTTAGCTTTAAAAATGCTGATTAGCCTGGCCCTCCTGTCTTGTGAAGGACACAAGGGGTGACCACTTGGAGCATTAGTAGGCTGTAGCAAAGTGCACCCACTCAAACAGCACTACAGGGTGAAGCCATCATACTGTTAACTGAGAGACATACCCAACTCTGCATAGATTTGGTCAGTTCACTTATGCCATTTCTAGTCAATGTATTCTGTTGTCCTTCTACAATGAATTGAAATTTTTATTTTTATTTTTTTACTTAATATACCACAGTGCTCAGTTTGGACGTTCTTTTTGGACCCGTGGTGAGCTGTGATTTTACGATAGATTGAAGCAGTCAAAGGCTCAATTTAAAATGGCACAGTAAGTTGGAAGTGGTTGCCAGAACTGGTTTATTAACAGGCTGTGAGAACCTATCTTGATCAGGCAGGCATCTAAGACATCAGATTCATTGGCAAGCCCCTTCCTTGGTTTAGGATGTAGATTCCTCCCCCCCCCACCCGTATTTTCTGTGCTGTTACTGAGAGCTACAATGTTGGAGGCTGCAGGCCCTCTTGAAATAAGTGTGCTTAGCTATTACTAGCATTTTGCTCTGAGACAAACACTCCAGCAACTTACGGTCAATTATATACAAGTCTACCCATAAACAAGACCCACTGAGTCCAGTTAAATTTACATTTAGCACATTTTTAGAAGTGCTCTCTCAAGTAATGGAATCAGTCTGTTTGTCATAGCACATGATTTTCTTTAGTATGCATCTTGCATTTAGTGTGCTTTGTTTTGTGATTGGTTATTGGAAAGTAAACATTGTCTCAATTTGCAAGTCTGATTTCTGAGGCACGTATCTCAGAGGAAATCTCACTGTGAGATAGAAAATGAATTAACCACAGGGAGTATGGATTCCTCTTAACATAATCTGACCTTTTGTTCCAGGTAATTGAGCAGAGGATTGCAGCCATGAGGCAGAATTCAGTATGATCTGGTCGTGTCCAAAGGACTAAGATCAGAAAACGTATCAGGGACAAGTACCCAAGTGAATTCCTTCAGCATGCAGAACAAAAACTGTGGGATACCTTTCTAATAGGCTACACTAATAGAACTGCAACTAACATATTGGTATTCCTTCTGGGTTTTTGTGCTTTACAACATTGTAGTTTGTGCTATATACTATGTGCTATAAGAAATGTACTTATTCCAAATGGATAGATCAGGTATCAGCTAAATAGGCAGCTTAATGGTAGATGGGTTATTCTTTGAGAATGTTCTTAGTCAGTTGCTAATGTTATGTGCTACATGATGATATCTACTATTCTAGCAATGCTTGAACACACCTGTTAATACATCAGTTGAGCAACAGGGATCACATGGCCCGCCTACACTAAAAAGCAAGGCGATTCTTTGTATTTTGATTTCCAAAGTTCCCCATCTAATATAATCTATTTATATATTACAGGTCAACTTGAGTTTTGGCCCACTCTTGTAGCTATATAGTAAGAATGAGGAACTTTTCAATGTCACTTGAGTTCCACTTTCCACTATCCTACCTAACATGTCTAATGGTCAGGGAAGAAGAGACTTGTAGAGGAAAACATCTGGAGAATAGGCTGTCCGCCTCTGCCATAAACCCTGAACATTCGTAAATAAGCCGTACATTTAAAAACACTCTGAAGCCGTGCTCACTCACAGAGAATATCCAAAATATCAAAAGCTACTGAATGGGCTTGAAAGTGCTTCTATCACAGAAAATGCTAACCCTGATATAACAAACATAAACACAATAGCAATTACAGAAGCCTTCACACAGAAAGACTCAATGGAGCGACTGCTCAAGGCATCTAACATTTAATCTCACAACTTCCCACTTCTAAAGCCTAGCAAAATGCCACAATGTAATACTGTTATATTTCCACAGAAATAATGAAGGCAGTGCCCCTCAGTGCTCCACTCACCCACCCACCCAGTGGGTAGCTCAGCAGGGTGTGGTCACCAATCGTACACTAAAAAAAATATAAATATATCAAATATACAATAAAATAGATCTGTACAGCACTGAGAATGAAAATAGTTCACATATCACTTTGAAATATGCTTGTCATTTAACAGAATTTACACCAACATTTACAGAATAAATATACAATAGAAATAGAATCTATAGATTACTCTCTATATGTACATATAAACACAAATAGTATAGTGTTTTTCCATCTTCTGAGTGCCATTGCAACAGGTGCTGCACTGTAAGATAAGGGAAAGAAACACAATGGACTCCACTGCAGAATTGTAGCTACCGCTGAGTAAATGGTGGCCAAAATCCATAGTGGCGATGTACAAATCTGCTTCACTTGAAGATCTGGTCTACTGACCAGTGAAGGTGCATTGATCTACCTCATCTCTGGCCTGTCTTCCTATAGACAGTCCATGGTCATGTGCCCATGTATGTAAGTGGAGAACCTAGACCAGCATAGAGCAAAAGTCTGAGAGTCCCTGAAAACCTTCCTTCTAAAGAAGATGGCCTTAGAAAGGAAGGAAGAGAGCCATGGAATTAAGCAACAAGCTTTCTCTATGAGTTTGTTATTTGATGGGTTATCCAATGTGAGCGCAGCCCACAGGCCCTCATGCTATCCTCAGCCAACCTGCTGGCACCCCGGATCAGTACACTCAAAAGCCTGTCACACACCTCTCCCCCTCACCTCTCCTCCACTGATGAGTGCTGGAAAAACTGAACTAAAGAGAAGAGTCTTTTTGTGTGGAGGGGGCAGGGAACCCAGCCCTCTCCCATGGTTAGCTGTGCCTATAGCCAGCATTCCTGGCTTCTGACCCCCCACCCCACATCTTTGTATGTGGCTCCAATTCAAAAGAGTGGCCCTTGTTCCAGAGCAGATTTCTATCATTCCCACTAGGCTTGAATGACTGTTTCCAATTTCCTGCACTTGGTTAATCACAGTTTATTTCTACTGGAGGGCAGGGCTGGATGGGATAACAGAAGCAGGTTGGGGGGGAGAGAAGGAAACTTCCAGCGTAGCTCATTATTTTATAATCTACACATTGAAACAAACAAATAAATATTGGCATCACAGAAGAAACAAAAAGGCCAAGAATCTGCCTCTACTCAAAGTGCCAGGATTCGACACCATTCCACAAGGGAAGCAGCAGGGATGGGCATTGGGTCATGGGACTCGCTGTCAAGTTGGACTTAAGTCACACCCGTGATGCAACTCCCCCCCCCCATGACTCAGACTCTACTTGTGTCTTGCAACCTGCCCACTCTCCCTTTTTTTCCCCCCTGGGGGGAAAACTTACCAAGTTGGACTTAAGTCACACCCGTGATGCGACTCCCCCCCCATGACTCAGACTCTACTTGTGACTTGGAACCCGCCCACTCTCCCTTTTTTTTCCCCTGGGGGGAAAATTTACTTTTAACAAGGACTCAGACTTGGGGCTTGGTACTTGTTACTAAAAACTTGGACTTGGTCGTGGGACTCTAACCCCAAAACTTCCCAACATCCCTGGAAGGCAGTATGTTAGCAGCAAGTACTATGTTCCTTTGAACTGGTCAGTTTCCAAGCCCATGTAATGTTTCCTTGCCTTCCTCAGGTCAAATAATGCAATTCCATGGTCATCTCAAAGGAGGAACACCACCTCGATTGCCAAGACAAGTATCTGTTTGTATAAAACCTACTCCTTGGATCTTGAGAAGCCTAACTCCTAGTCAGTGCTCAGATTATCACCGATAACAGGGCAGTGTTGTAGTGAACCTGAGCTTCACAGGTGTTGGATCAGCACAAGGTTGCTGACATAACCTGTGAGGCCCATCTTCCCAATTCCCTCTGACTTTAGCTGAAATCATTGCAGTGGGGGAAGGAGAACAATGGATTTTCCCTACTCACAACAGATTGTTGTGAGTTCATACCTTACTCTCTCACTGTCTCAGTGCACATGTACATCTCTCTCTCTCTCTCTCTCTCTCTCTCTCTCTCTCTCTCTCTCACACACACACACACACACACACACACATACACACACACATGGATGAGCATGGAGGTCTACATTTTCCCACAGCTTTCTATACAGAGCACAGAAATGTGAGCATAGGTCAGGTAATGCATGGAGAGGCCCCAACAATCTTTAGAATCAGAGTGAGTGGAAAGGGCTGCAATAATTTTGGAAACAGCCGTGTGTATTTCAGTGTTTGCACAGAATTTCATGCACCTGCCTGTGCAAGCACATGGACAAAATGCCTGCATTTTGGGACTACTTGAGGATGTGCATCTGTGGAGACTACCATGATGAGCACCTAGACTTTGCTACATTCTGGCTAAACATCAGGAGCCACCATAGCTGTTTGCTGCAAGTGGACATTTTCTTAAAATCACTCCACATCTGTTCATGCAGCATTTGGCCCCACTTTAGTGGGCCTGAAAATGTTTTCAAGAATTCAGTTTGTTTTCATCCATACTATAAAACATCTTCTGGAGGAGAACTGAGGGAAGTTATGACCATGGGGTTCCCCCCCCCCCAATTGTTTTGACTGTCCTAGTTTGTTCTCTGCATGGGAGACATAAAAGGCCATCTGCACACAAGCCACCACATAGCAATGCCATAGCAGCACAAGACTCCTTTGTGTACAGTAGTTTCTCTTTTTTGAATATGGTGGTGGAGGTGAAAAAGACCCCTTATGCTGTTCAACACTTTTAAAAACCAGACGAGATGTGTGCTCCCACACAGATTGTGCCACGGGAGTGCTCAAACACCAAATTTTCAAAAAGGAAAAGGAAAAAAAAAGCCTTTAAAAGGTTCCAGAACCATGTGACATATTTTAGCGCCTGTTTCTTAGAATCTCACTGTGTGTGTGCACTCCCACATATGAATTATACAACCTCCAAGCAACTAAAATAATAGTGAGATAGAACTCTAAAACCAAGTTTTAAAAAGGGCACTGCATGTTTGAATCCTCTATTGAATATGACTAAGCAGGAGGCAGAAACTATGTCACTGTTCATTAAATAATGGCATCAGCTGTACCCAACAGGTGAGCCATGTGCTCCACCTGTACTTCCACATCCTGCAGTTCAGTTATAATGCAGCACTTAAAGGAGCTATTATATTTTTCTAGGTATGAAATATACTGCATAGTTAAAAGGGGAAGGGGCAGTACCAACACTCCCTTGCAATAAAATTTTATTTTAGTGTGTTTATTTAATTAAATTTAACATGCCCTTTTTATAATGCTTTTATAACCTACCAGTGTGTTTGTGGTGCAACCTTCCCCAACCTGGTGCATTCCCGATGTGCTGAACCACAACGTCCACCATCCCAGCCCAGCTTGGGGATAGAGATTATAATTCAACACCAAGGAGTAGAGTTTTATACAAACAGTAGGTAAGGGAAAGCTGCTATAGAGAACAGCTCTCTCTGGAAAAGTTTTCATCATAAAAGTATATTTGATGAAAAGTATGAGTGTGCTCAGAGTTACAGAAAAAACATCAGAAGTGATACTGTAAATTATAGAAAATTACACTGATGCAAAACAGTCCTGATTCTGTCATACACACATGGCATATGCCTGAATTTGCACCCCTGCATGGGCCAGAATTGGGCAGAGGAACACTGTAAGGAATGTTAGTAAGTAGGTCAATGCAACCTTCATAAAGGGTGTGATAAGACAAGACAAAGGTGTCTACCTGACTGCACTAGAATTGGTTGCATTGCAGGGAATGAAAGTGAAATTTCCATATTTTATTTGGAAAATAAAAGTAGTAGCCCTACAGCTGAACCAAAAAGGTTCAGCTTGGACACAGTCTGGGGTCGGGCTGGAGTACAATTCCCCAAACGTTGTATAATTGCCAGGAAATAGATCACAACAGACTATTCCACAAGTGGTCCAAAATATGACTGATTTCCTCATGTGATCACACCCTCAGAGGAGATTCCCATCCTTAATCCCCTTACAGTTTTTGTCTAGCATCAGCAGTGGGATGGCATACATTATGCGACGGCACAGCCATTGGCATTATCATGTGCTGTCTACATAAAAGTATATCCAGACTTCTAAGACACATTCACCAAAGCAAATGTGCAAACTGATCAAAGTGCAACCCCACTGGTTGTCTGGTAGAACCCACATTAAGAGTCTTCTTTGTGCTAGAAGTGGTGGTGGTGGTAGTGCTTAGATGTACTCACTGGCTGAAACAAGATTTCTTCTCCTAGCTAGAGAAAAACAGTGGATAAGGAGGTAGCTCTAAGGGTCCTGAACTCTTTCCCTTTGCTGCTGCCTTGTTTTGTGTCCCTTTCCCAGCTTGTGCTTGTGCAAAAGGGATTTGTGTTTTTCAGTGCCAATTGGCTAAAATTTTGCTTATTTATTGCAGTGTCTTATTACTATTGTTCACTGAGGAAGGATCTGAGATTTCGGGTGGCGGTAACCAGAAAGAAAGACCTCTTCCCTTCCCATCTTTTCCACCCTCAAGATATCATCTGCCTCCTACCTGCCGTAAATTCTGGAAAGAATGTCTAAAGCACAGGTTCCTTCTCTAGGCAAGGAGGGGAGGGCTGGTGGCAGATGGTCACAGTTCAGATTCAGGGGTGGTAGCCATATGGTACCCACTGCTAAAGCGTCCATTGGCAACACTGGTCATCTCCATTGGGGATGTGGTCCCTGGACCCAGGTAAGAACGGTGTGTGGGCATTGGGGAAGGGGTTTCGCTGGGTACTTTACTCAAGATGAAACGGGTTTCATCGTTGTCTTCCAGGTTGGAGATGTCTTTCATCATACGCCCCTTCTTGTACGTCACAGACAGAGCATTGGAACCATCTGACATAAGGTGGAATTGCCGAAGGATGAAGATGACAGGCAAAGGAAGGATGGCTAAGATGATCAGTGACACAAGGATACCCAGTGCCCATTTGGGATAATAGAGATATTTCTCTGCAGCCTGGGAAGGAAAAAGAAATAGCACTGGCATTGATCAATATCACACAAATACAACCCTAGAACTGATTAGCTTAGCATTTAGAACCAAGGCTAAATATTAGAAATAGAACTTGGAAAAATTACTTGTGAGATTACAGTACCCCAAATCCCCAAGACTAAAAGCCATGCTGGCTGGGGGAGTTTGGGAGTTTTAGGAAATAAACACACTACACACACAATACAAACACACACAAATACACACACATGTCCTTTAGCTCCTATAGAAAGAACACCATGTGCTATAATGGGAAATTGTAATAAATGGAAAAGAAATTTCATCAGTCTTCCATTTTCCTCATGCACTTACTGAAATCATTGTTTTCATGTACTGTCAAGTTGCTTCCTACTTATTATTCTGGTAGCCTATAGTATCCGTAAAGGTCCCCTTCAATGCCAAATTTAAAATGAATAAATGTTGTTCCTGTTAGCTTTCTTTATTGTTCAATTTGCATATCCATAATCTATAGCTACCAGAAGATCAATTTCTCAGAAGTAATGTATTGGGATATTTTGATCTGGTGGGGGGCTCTTTAAGAAAGATAAGCAGTATCTCAATATCAATAATTTCCTGAAGACGGAATAAATGCTTAAATTACCTTTTAAAGGTCATAATCCACACCTGGAACAATGCACCTTAACCCCCCCCCCTATCTGCTTTACAGGAAGCATGTACAACTCTGGAATGCCAGTAGTGATCACTCTGCAATGGAGAGGCAGCATCTGGGCCTCATCTTCACAAGGAAGAATAGCCAGAAATTCAGGACATCTTTGTTAGGAATTATCTCCAGTAGGGCAGCAGGGAGAGGAACTGAAAATCACATTGCATCTGCTGAAGTGCCAGTTGTATGCTAGCAGATGTCACAATGGTAGCACTTCTCCGGCCTCAGTGTGAATGGTGGTCCACCAACTGCACACCTGATCACAGTGTAACTGCTATGACCTGTGGCTTTATATGTACAAACTAATAGCACATAATTAACAAACTATACAGCAGAGGCTGGGAACATGAGGGTGCACAGCCTATGGATTTGGGACTTTTAGGGTATATGCAAGGACTCACCTCTTCTCTGATCCAGGCATTATAACCTGGCGGAGTGACTGCTAGCTGAATTATGCTGGCCATCATTAGGCCAGCCATACAGATAGGTGAGACGTACTTCCATGTGTAGAAGTAGAAACGGTAAGGGCGGAAACCCAACATTTCTGTTAATTCATGCATGAATCTATGAAGAGAAGAGGAAGAAAACAAACAGATGAAGGACAATACCCTGATTGTGCCTTACCTACCTCCCCTGATTTAGATGGGAAGTTTCAAACAATGACAGTTGTTGGTTCCAAAAGTCCAATTCCACCCCCCATTTGAAATCTGAGCCCTTTAAGAGCGGTTAAGCGCTCTTGATTATACAATCTGATGCAATATTGTGGTCATGGAAAGATCTTAAATGATGTTCCATCCATGGAAGGGGAAATCACATTTTAGATGCCCCTCATAGTTCTTCCAAGTTCTAGGCTTCTGCAAGGGCCCCTCTAGCCATTTGAACTCAATCCTTAGGGGCAAAAGCGAGGAGCTGGGAGTGTAGTAGGTGGGCAGCAGGAAGAACTACATCTGATGGATCCCAAAGTGTTTCCACCTCCAACCCCAACCCCAAATAAGCAATGGAATCTCAACATGCCTCAGATTATGGCAAATTTGCTTCTCTTTCATTGGTCTCTTTCCTTCAGTACAAGTGTGAATAAGCTGTATGGAAGGGAAAACAAGCTGTAAATCAGCTCTGGTGATACTTCCATCTGGTGGTGAAACCTAGACTGAATCTATCCACTCTTTGTTTTAGAATTGCCCTATAAGTCTTAGAGCAGGACGTGGTGGCACTGTGGGCTAAACCGCAGAAGCCTGTGCTGCAGGGTCAGAAGACCAGCAGTCATAAGATCGAATCCATGCAACAGAGTGAGCTCCTGTCACTTTGTCCCAGCTCCTTGCCAACCTAGCAGTTTGAAAGCATGCAAATGTGAGTAGATAAATAGGTACCACCTCGGTGGGAAGGTAAAACGGCATCCCCTAGTCACACTGGCCACGTGACAACAGAAACTGTCTTCGGACAAGCGCTGGCTCTATGGCTTGAAAATGGGATGAGCGCCACCCCCTAGAGTCGGACATGACTGGACTGAAAATGTCAAGGGGAACGTTTACCTTTACCTATAAGTCTTAGAAGGTAGGGAAACCATTAAAGGAGGAAGAAATAAAAACATATTTTGTGTTTCCTCCCTTTGAAAGAAATCTTACTTTTTGGTACCGTATATCCAAGCCACAGCGATGTTCTCCAGGATTACCACAAGAGTGAGTGGCAGCGTTGCAGAATAATCATCAAACATGTTGACAAAGTAGTTGCCAGAGCGCTGCACAAAGATCAGCCCCACAAAGAAAGCAAAAATGCAGCAGCCAACTGTAAAGAACAAACAATAAGAATTGTCAAGCATGCCGCTACTTCAGAGCACATGAACGTGTTCAGGAGGTAGAAGGCAAACTGATCATATCACTGCTTTGGAAGAGGATGCATTTGTTAGCAGGACCAACCAAATAATTTTCACATGTGAGTTGGTGAAAACATAAGGATAGAAAGTAAACAATAGAGCTATACAGAGTAGAGGAACATTAGTATTTCTCTGCCAGGAATATAATAAATGGGGAAAGATGACTTTGGGGCAGCAAAATCTTCTCATGGGGAAGTTTTATTTCTTGCTCACTGCACCTGGCTTGTGAACTCAAGCACTTAAAATATACCAGATTAATAACTGCTAGGGCAACAGTAAGTATATTCCTTATCCTGCTGAGCAGTTTAACATGCATGTGTACATGTATCCTATCCTTCCCTTGGAGATTTAAAATAGCTTATTAATCTATACGACAACACCCATATCCCATAATTCTGATGAGAAACTGAGGATAGGCTAAGCTTGACCTTTTATCTGGTGCTAGATAGTCTTAACTACTTGCTCCCAAGAAAGGGTTTTTAATGGGGGAGTTGTATTTTTATCTTTTAAATGTGCTTTCAAATTGTTTTAAAGAGGGTTTATTTAGCACTGTTCCATTATTAAGATTTTGTTTTTTTTAATATTGTAATTTGCTCTATTTTTTAAATTGTTTCAATACTTTAAAAAAATCTTGTTTGTAAGCTATACAGCCAAAAAAGCTTATTTTAATATGGTTTGGCATTTTAAGTATGGACATCCATCACTTCCTAACTGTTCTGTAAATTATGTCACATGACACTGCATGTCATGTTATCTAATAAACAGATATGCAAAACCTATCTATTGTTTCCTCTGTTTGTCCTACAAGACATCTAGCAGTTTCTGACTGCCTACTTTTCCCAGTTCCACATTCTTTCTTCAGCTGCACATTTGAAAAAAGGTGATTGAGGTACATGTGTGCAACAAGCTGTTTGTGAGATTCACACAATTACTTGCAAGCAGGTGACTTCTGTGCAAGAACATTAGAGCTCAGCCAACTGGCTGAATAGTTCAGTGATATGGGTTGTGGTGCCAGAGGCTGGGAGTTTGATTCTTCCTTGTATTTCCTAGGAAAAGAGACAGCTTGTGTAGCCATGGGCAAGCTGCACAGACGTCAGAACATAAGAATAGCCCTGCTGGATCAAACCAAGGGCCCATTTAGTCCAGCTTCCTGTATCTCATAGTGACTCCACCAGATGCCTCTGGAAGCACATGAGACTCGATACTTGTGTCCTGATACTCCTACCACTGCATCCGGCCTTTTGAGGTACCTCCCTTCTAAGCCTGGAGTTTATGCATCCCCATCATGGCTTGTAACCTGCATCCCAAGGCCCCCCAAGAAAAACGGAATGGTAAACCACTTCTGAGTAGTGACTACCTCAAAAACCCTGGAAAAGGTTGTCGTAAGTTGGAATTGACTTGAACCTCACAATTATTATTATAAGTACTCAGATGCAACGTTCACAACAGATTCCACATATGGATTTTTTAAAATTTGACTTTGCCTCAGTTTTGATCAGATGTTAAAATGCAAAATAATTGTAAGCTGTGTTTCTGCAACATGTGCTGTTTAATTACTATTTGAAGCCCTCTGTTACATGTATTTGCCAGAAATAGATGATGTCTCCGCTCTGTGAGGATGAGTTTCCCCAAAACCAACCTTACCTGTTAATGCTTCCTTGCGCACCTTGAACATATCAATGATGGGTGTGGTGATGCCAGCCATGGTCCCAATCATGCTTCCCAAGCCCAGGTTTATCAGCATCAGGAAGAACATCACTGACCAGAAAGGAGAAGCTGGGAAATGAGTCATTGCTTCTGTGAAAGCTATGAATGCAAGGCCAGTTCCCTGCACAGACTGTGGACAACCAGAAGATATTTACATCACTTTTGGCAGAAGATAAAATTATAGAAACAGATGTGTATGCATTCATACAAACAGAGCCTTGTCTTTATCAGAGCTTGGGGGGGGGGAAATCATTTTTTGGATTATAGTTCCCAGAATCCTCAAGCCAGCACAGCCTGGAGGACTGTTGGGAGATTCTGAAAGCTGTAGTCCTAAACATTAGTTTTGACAGCCTCTGATTTATGCAATTGCAAGTTCTCATGCCCAGAATCTATACAGTTCTGTTCCCAATCTGTCATTTTCTGCCATGATAAGGTGTACCCCAAAAAAATCTTAAGTAAAAAAAGATGAAAAAATATTGGTTGGGGATACAGGAGTAGGTACAGTCCTCCAAGGTTGACAGGGAGCCATGGGCAGTATCTGGATCTCTAGAAGTTGCCCACTGCCGGTCTAAACCATAGTTAAGCATTATGTGAACAGGCTCTAACAAGCCATGGACTAAATTATTCCCACTTCTTCCTCTGATGTGGTGTTGAGAGGAATTCAGAACCATTTGCTTGTATTTTACACTGGCCATTGTTTACTATGGCTTCTAAACATGAACAAGCTATAACATATACAAAATTTCTAGTGGATGCTAACCATAGTTTACCTAGCTGTTTTCACTAATCATGATTAAAATTTAACTACAGTTTACAGTTTCCCCAAGGATGTTTTCATCAAGAATATAAACTGGCATTCAGCCTTTAGAGAAATATTCAGATGGATGTACTGACCAAACATTTCGGACCCAAAATGAATATAAAAAGGCAATCCAGGCAGCAGTAAGCATACCTTGTCAAGCTCATCTTCCAGCAGACAGGGATCCAGTCCCAATCTGTCAAAGTGCTCCTTCTTTATCGTCTTTATCACAGCATACATCTCACTGTAGTCCTTGGCTGTGAGATGGGAAAAGTTCACATAGGGTGGAATAAGTTCATGGCTCAAGACATTGGTGTTCAGATAACCCAGGATCTTCTCAGCATTCCTAAGGTGGAGAAGCTAAAAGTCACTACAGAGCCATTTCCTGGTCTTTAGACCTTGTTGTTCACCATGATCTGTGCATAAGGAGAAATATATCTTCTTCCTGAAAGACAGGCAAGGTAAACCCCCAGAAGCTGATGTGGGAGGAATTAGTCCCATTATTCCACAACACCTTCTGCAAAAATCACGGAGTGAAAAGCTTACTTTCCTCTTCTGAAAGCACTCCAGATCCCCACCAACCAGGAAGGAAATTCCAAAGTAAACCTGCATCAGCCACACTATTTACTCTATTTAAGAAACTGAAGTTACACTGAAGACTATCTTGCTATGGTATGCATGCCTTCTCTTGAGAAATCTCTTGGAGAGACTTTGGCATTGATACTTACTCAACCACACACTTCTCGTTCATGACATTGGCCTTGAACCCCAACACAGCAAAGACAACCAATGTGGCCAAGATGGAGGTGAAGAAGTTGATGAGGGAGACCAAGGCTGCGTCGAAGTGGCAATTGTTGTCCTGTTTGTTGTAACTGGAGAAAGCAATAACTCCACCAAAGCCTAGTCCAAGGGCAAAGAAGACCTGAGTGGCTGCTTCTCGCCACACTTGGAGATCCAACATTTTATCCAACTGTATGAGGAAATGAGAGGCAAACCAAGTCATCTGCATATATATATATATATTCTTGGTAGCAGAGAATTCTGTCTCCCTCTTTCTTTTGTTAACTGAATTATTTATGATGAGGGACAAATTCAAAGAATGTTAAATCCATTTGTGACCCCAGCATCCCTACATCTACAACCCAAAGTTTTAAGAACATTTATTTTGAAAGAAAATGTATTCACAAAGTTCTCTTGCGGATCACAGAGCCATTTTTAACATTTTTGAAGAATTCTAAGAATAAAACAGTGGCCACTAGAGGGCACAAAGCGGCTTTTCCATTTTTAAAAAAGCAATATTCTTTTTAGTTAAATCCGTTTCTGTTTTGTTTTGATTTTTTTTTTAAAAAAAATCACTGTAGCAACCTTATCAGTACTATTATTTTTTTTCAAAATTAAATGTGGAGATTAGACTCTATGCCTTCACTTTAGCTCCCTTCTTATGGAGTGACCCTGGGCTGCCAGGAAATCTGAAAAATGAACCCAATGGGTTTGCCCATCTGTGATACATATTATGCAATAAAAATGTTCTATGGGCAGCTTACTGTTAGGGATGTGCCCTGCCTTGGGAGAAATGTGCAAAAATGTACCCAGTCCAGAGTATTTGTGCAATTCGGGGGTAACTGCGGTGTAAAGAGCTGTTAAAAACCTGCAGAGCAACTTCCCTACAGAGCCTTCATTTTCCATCTGGCATTCATGGGGCTAAAATGCTTTTAGCCAAACATGGCCAGCCATTTGAACTGAAGAAGCGGACATTGAAAAGACTGAGCTGCTGGCACTGGAGGAGAAGGACAGTGGCTGTGAACCTCTCCTGCCCCCACCTCCCAGTAAAGCCCAAGGTCTCCCCCAGATGCTTCAAGCACTGAGCCACTAGGAAGAGCTCAGACTGAGGTCACTGTATGGCTATTTCTGCTTGCAGCCACTATTTAGTAAAGTTGTAGGTCAAAGAGAAAGACTCTTTTCCTTGTATTTGCAAAGGCTTTCACGGCCAGGATCTAATGGTTGTTGTGGGTTTTTCAGCCGTGTTCTGAAGGTTGTTCTTCCTAACGTTTTGCCAGTCTCTATGGCCGGCATCTTCAGAGGACAGCACTCTGTGCTCTGGTGCAGTTTGCTTGGGAGTGGAGTATTTATGGCTGTGAGATATCACAACAATACACCCACAACAAGACACACTAATCACCCATCCCCTGAATAGGACAAAAGCCTGTCTCACAGCCATAAATACTCCACTCCCAAGCAAACTGCACCAGAGCACAGAGTGCTGTGCTCTGAAGATGCCGGCCACAGAGACTGGCGAAACATTAGAAAGAACAATCTTCAGAACACGGCCGAAAAACCCACAACAATCACTCTTTTCCTTGTTGGCTAAGATCTGCACTTGAGAACTTTTTCTTTTTTGGTCTAGCTCAGTTTACTAGTTTACTACTAGGATTGAGAGTGTCTTTGTGACTGTGAATAAATATCTGTGTTTCTCTTATGTAAGCTTTGATTGACTAGTTCAGATTTAGTTTGCTGGGGTCTGCCTTTTCTCTCCCATCTCTGTCTTTTTTGGTTGTTGTGGGTTTTTCGGCTTCTTTGGCCATGTTCTGAAGGTTGTTCTTCCCAACGTTTCACTAGTCTCTGTGGCCGGCATCTTCAGAGGACAGAAGTAGCATGCTGTGCTCAGTCTTTTTTCTTTCCTTCCCTCCACTTCTTCCCTTTTCTTTGGTGTAAATCCAATCGCCTGCTGGCTTTTGCACAATTATTAGCTGTCTGCAGGTGGAAGTAAGATCCTCTTATCTCCCATGTCCCTAAACTGAACTTGGTGTGCAAATCCTTCTCCACACCAAGTCACAGCTGTTTGCACTTCCCCACTTCTGTTAATATGTGTGTGTGTTTTCATAAAGGTCCAGAAATGTACAGATAATGTCCCTGACCCAAACAAGGATCAGAATGTCACCAAAGGGCTCAAGGCAAGTTGGCCCCAAACACTGTGCCTTTTATTTGGCCATAGACTGGATCAGGCAGCCGGTGTGCATCCCGATTTACAAAACATGAAATAGAATATTAAAATACAATATCTATTGAACAAAAACTGCACTACAAAGTTTTCAGCAAACCTGTTTCACAGCACAGCTAAAAATACTGACCAGATAAGCAGTGCAGTGCAGACAGTAAAAGACCACAGCAAATAAAAACTCATCACATGGAACCAAGTGACTATAAAGAAAGTGTCAGTCAAAGCATCTCTGGAGCAGACATTCCACAACTTGGGTGGGGCATCAACAAAGCAGCCTTATTTCACTTGGCTGGCACATCCAGAGCAAGGTCTCTGAAGAACTCAAATTTGGGAAAGACCATATACGAGAAAACAATCTTTCAGTTGACCTAAACTCATACAATTAAAAGTTTTAACAGTTTGATTTGGGAAAAGAATGAATGATGAAGCACTTGTGTCATATCATTTAACTGCCTGGTCTCAGGAGTTCACTTAACACTGACCTATCTGTCCTGTATTTACAATATTTTCTCCTCAGCAATGTGATCATGTTTTCACATTCATACTATTTTTCCCACTTGAGGGTGCACTGCTTCTAAACACGGAATCAGTGACCGGTGAGTCCCTCCAAACAACAGTCTTGGAAACAGTTCTGGACAAATTACAATTCCAAATTAGCTCTCTAACTCCCAGGATCCACAGTCTTCAGGGCTTCATGGAGTTACGGTCCAAAATATTAACTTTTCCAACTCTGAAATGCTTACCTAACTGGTCTATATACAACACATTGTAATACTCCAAATAAGGGGTTACCAAAACATTGTCAATGTAGCTAGGAGATCACCAATCTGATAGGGTTACAGTTGGTGTATCAACCAAAACTTATAAAGGAATGTTGAGCCAAAGAGATCACTAGATCCTCTATTATAGTGGTTCTCAACCCTGGGTAACCCAGGTGTTCTTGAACTGCAACCACCAGAAACCTGCAGTCAGCACAGTTGGTGATGAAGGTTTCTGGAAATTGCAGTCCAAGAATGCCTGAGTTACCCAAGATTGGGAACACTTGCTTTATGACAATCCCAGATTAATAAGCATTCCTAAACTGCAAGCCTAATCTTTTAAGGCAGAGGGGGCACAATCTGTTCTGGAATGGGTTGGACATCAGCTACTTCATCAGTACCTAACTATGCACTTCAGTCTTATAGATGTTATCAAGAATGTCAGATTCTTTATAAACTATTAGCACTGTGTGTCTGTATTTTACAAGCTCACTACTTAAGCAACTGGTGTGGAATTTGATGTCCCGCAGTCTCATCATCTTAGAAAATGAAAAAGGACTCTCGTCTTCAAGACTGAGTGGCAGGGAGAGCAGCCTGAAAAACACTTATGCTATTCAAATGAAGCTGGTTAGATAGCTCAGTGAGATCAGGAATTCAATTCCTCATGCCACTCCTTGGAGAAGAGCCAGCCTGTGTAGCCTTGGGCAAGCTGTACATTCCCAGAGTACCCCCAGAGGAAGGAAATGATAAAGCATTTATTAATATAGTTAGAAATTCCTGGAAAGGGTCACCATAACTCAGAATTGTCTTGACAACACACTGTTACTGTTATGGTGCTTGAAACAAAGATTTGGAGAGCATGATTCATGTATACCCAATGCCATATGTTGCCAAACTGCTATACTGCATGTTGATCCCATGTAGTACTGGGGCCTTGTTCTAGCCAGTGTCAGGACCACACTGTTCATGGTATCACTCTGATTCTATGGCACGTCATTAGCAAGTCTATATACAACAAGAACTGGCGGATTAGGGCTTGTGCTTTTCTGCTTCTTATACTGCATTAATCAGGATTCATTTCTTTCATCAGCTTCACAATATGAATCATCCACATCTTTATTCAATTAATTAACTTGCTAATTAATGGATACTTATTGCAGCTGTTCTTTTGCACTCCTAGTTAATTGGACAAAATGCATCTTCTAGCCGGGAGTGGGAAGAGTGAATGTAGAGGCTAATACTAGTAGGCACAAGGCTATGAAGAGGCAGCAGTTCACTGTAGATGATATTGTGCTGTTCATATCCTGTTTCTCTGTAAAATTTTGCTCTGCTCTAATGCTTTCCATTGTGTACCATAAATACAGCCATGCAAATTTTACAGGGGGAAAATTCTCCTGGCAATTTTTACCAAAAAGAAGGGATTTTTGGCAATTATATAACCTAGTTTCATTCTACCATTCTGAAATCAGATGGACTGAATGCTTAGATCAGTAACTTCCCAAGGGGCATACCTTTATTGTGAAATGCCTTCTTGCTTATTTTAAATATGTTTTTGATAGGTTTTTAAATTTTCTATTCTAAATTTATAAAATTAAATAAATTAATGGATACTGGATAACCTTGTGCAAGCAATTTTCTTCTGCATAACCTACTTCTCAGGGCTGTTGTGACACGGACAATAGTGATGATGATGAGAACCTTGTAAATTTCAATGGATTGCTTGGAAAGGCTGGATATAAGCAAGTAAATAACCAGTACTTAGTACTTTGAGTTGAAGTGGCTGTCTGGATAGCACAGTAAGTGGGAGCAGCTGATGTCAGGAGTTCAATTCCCCACTGTGCCTCCTGGGAAAAAAGCCAGGCCGTGTAACCTTGGGCGAGCTGTCCCAAGAGCCCTCAAAGGAAGGAAATGGTAAATCACTCCTGAGTACTTTATTCCCAGGAAACCTTGGCAAGGGTTGTCTTAAATTGGGATGGATTTGCAGCATAAAATACAAATATATTCCTGTATGTAACAAAATGCACAACATTCTGCAAGAAGCTTCCTTGACTAGCACAGAGGGCTTGTAAGGCTTACCTTGGGCGTGAACATGTGCACGATCCCATCTACTGCCCCTCTAAGAAGCAACCCCCGGACCAAGAAGCAGATCAGCACGACATAAGGAAAGAGAGAGCTGAAGTACATCACCTAAGAGGGACAGATTGAGAGAGAGAGATCGAGTTGGCTGTGTATAGTAATAGAGACAAAATGTGTCTCTAGCCCACTAGAAATACTATCAGTTTTCTACCTCTTCAGCTATCCTCCTGCAAAGCTAAGGTTGGTTAGTGAGATATATAGAAGAACAATCTGTTTTAGACTCCTCCCTCTGCTCCCCTAATAGGACTGCAATTCAACAGAGCCTCCAGGGAAAGATTAAGCACTTCAAGTCAAAAATGTGGATATGCTGCAAAACAGTGGCAGCTGTGGTCCAAAGGCCTTGAGCAGTTGTGAGTGCCATGGCTGAATGCTGCACCATTGCTGACCTTATTTTCTATGGCTCTCTGATATATGCTTCTTTCTTTGAGATGGCTCTCCCATGCAACGTTCATGGCAGGAATAGGCCCTCGTGGGTGGACAAAGCTTGCACTCTTCCCTACTTCTTATCATTAGTGACCTGAGTAACAGATGCTGCTGAGGATATATGGAGGTGGTTGCATCCATGGTTCCAGCCACCAAAACTGTTGCCTAACAGCTGTTGTTGATTTCAGCTCATGAGCCAAATCATGCTGAATCTGGTCTGCAAAGGGCCTGTATCCAGTCCATGGGGGTGCAGGCTCCTCATTGCTTCCCAAAGCCTCAGGTTCTGGAGTCAACTTGTGTCAGTGTATGTGTTAACTTCCTATGGGTAGAGTTATCTTCTAACCCCCACCATCAACCCTTACCTTCCCTGAGGACTGGATTCCTTTGATCATGGCTAAGCACACAATGCTCCAAGCTGCTAGGAGACATAAGGTCATCCTCCAGTTGAGACCACCACTCTCAGAAATAGAGTCGGAGATGTCCAGGGCATCACGATACCAGAAGAAGGTAGTGGCAGAGCTCTTGTCACATTCTGGTTCCACAACTGCAAAGGATGGGAAGCACCCACTAACAGCACTTCCATCTTCTCTGGATTGAGCTTCAATTTATTAACCCTCATCCAGTCCATAATCAGGTCCAGACACGAGTTCAGCACACAAACCGCCTCACGTGGATTGGTGGAAAACGAGAGGTAGAGCTGAGTGTCATCAGCATATTGCTGACTTCTCAGCCCAAACCTCCTGATGACCTCTCCCAGCTGTTCCATGTAGGTGTTAAACAGCATGGGGGGCAGTATTGAGCCCTGAGGAACCCCATGACATAAATGCCATGGGGCAGAGCAACTGTCCCCCAGCATCACCTTCTGGACATGGTCAGTCAGGAAGGAGTGGAACCACTGTAAAGCAGTGCCCCCAACTCCCAACCCAGCCAGCCTATCCAGAAGGACACCATGGTTGATGGTGTCGAAAGCCACTGAGAGGTCCGGGAGTATCAACAGGGTGACAATCCCCCTGTCCCTCTCCCGGCAAAGGCAACCAAGGCAGTCTCCATACCAAAGCCCGGCTTGAAGCCCAATTGAAATGGATCCAGAAAACCCATTTCATCTTGCAGTGCCTGGGTTGCCCAGCCACAACCGGCTCCAACAACTTGCCCAAATAAGGGAGGTTTGCCACTGGTCAGTAGTTAACCACCAGCCCTGGGTCCATGTTAGGCTTTTTAAGGAGTAGCTGAATTACTGCCTCTTTCAAGGCGGCTGGGACCACTCCCTCTCTGGTGTTCATGGCCTCATGCATCCAGGTGTGAACCTCACTGGCAGATCTTCTAATTAGCCAAGATGGGCAAGGGTCAAGTGGAGTGGTGGTAGAATGGAGAGATCCAAGCACCCTGTCCACATCCTCAGGTCTCAAAATGACACATTGAGACAGCCCCATGGTTGATACCAAAGAAAGATGTTTTTCTCATTATAGATTGGAATGCTAAAGTCTAGTCAAGAGATAAAATGAAAAACAGGTACATTTGGCCTTGGAGTTCAAAGCGAAGCAGGGCAAAGGTTAATAGAGTTTTGTCAAGAGACCAAGCTGATCATCACAAACACTCTTTTCCAACAACACAAGAGGCGAGTCTACACATGGACATCACCAGAAGGGTAATACCAAAATCAGATCGATGTTCTCTGCAGCCAAAGATGGAGAAACTCTATACAGTCAGCAAAAACAAGACTGGAGCTGATTGTGGCTCTGATCATCAGCTTCTCATAGCAAAATTCAAGATTAAACTGAAGAAAGTAGGAAAAACCACTGAGCTAATCAAGTATAATCGAAACCAAATCACTTGGAAGTGAAGAACAGATTTAAGGAACTAGATTTGGTGGACAGAGTGCCTGAAGAACTATGGATGGAGGCTTGTAACATTGCCAGAGACAGCAACAAATACCATCTCAAAGAAAAGGAAATGCAAGAAAGCAAAGTGGCTGTCCAACAAGGCCTTACAAATAGCAGAAAAGAGAAGGGAAACAAAATGCAGGGGAGATAGGGAAAGTTACAGAAAATTGAATGCAGACTTCCAAAGAATAGCAAGGAGAGACAAGATGGCCTTCCTAAATGAACAGTACAAAGAAATAGCGGAAAATAATAGAAAGGGGGAAACCAGAGATCTGTTCAAGAAAATTGGAGATATTAAAGGAATATTGTGTACAAAGACGGACATGATAAAGGACAAAAATGGTAGGGACCTCACAGAAGCAGAAGACATCAAGAAGAGGTGGCAAGAATGCACAGAGGAATTATACCAGAAAGATTTGGATATCCCGGACAACCCAGATAGTGTGGCTGCTGACCTTGAGCCAGACATCCTGGAGAGTGAAGTCAAGTGGGCCTTAGAAAAGCATGGCTAACAACAAGGCCAGTGGAGGTGATGGCATTCCAGTCAAACTATTTAAAATCTTAAAGGATAACACTGTTAAGGTGCTACACTCAATATGCCAGCAAGTTTGGAAAACTCAGCAGTGGCCAGAGGATTGGAAAAGATCAGTCTTCATCCCAA